GCCATCAACAAGGACACAAAATCTCTGGAGGTTTAAATTCTCTACATTTTGAAATTAACAGAGAGAGGTGAATTCACACTATAGAAGTCTCTCCGTGCCAAAATAATTGTTTGTTTGTTTATTGTGTATTTTGGCAGGACACGTTCTCTGAGTTCCATGTGGTATAAATTTGCATGACCTATAGCTTTCATCTCTTTGGCTCAACACTGCTGCTGCCATTGTGTTGCAGTGATGTCACATCTACTCGACTAGTTAATTCCTTTGGTATCAGTCTGCAGATACGTGCATTTCTATGACAACATATTAAAAATGGGCCTTTCCTAAACATAGTCCATGCAGATGTCCTATGCCCAGGATTAGACCTAATGTGGGCTGGACTGGTATCACTTGCACGTAAATAAAAGTGATGAATGTGTCTTGACTCTTGGAAATTGCATTAAGTTAGCTTGAATAGTTCTTAAACCATCGTCTAGAAGTTTTGTCCAGGAAGATTAAGTCTTTAAAACAGTAGTCTGATGCTCTGAGGCAGATTTTTTTTTACGATGGTGTAAAAACAACTTTGAAACGATGGTCTTAGAGCAGCTGGATGTTAGCTGAAGGTATTTTAAAAACACAATAAGACAAATAAATTCAGCTGAGGCAGAATGATACTGACAGAGTTACTGTTGTGCCTTTTTGCTGCACTTTTGCACGAGTCATGGAAATATGACATCTCTGCAACATGATTGGACAGCCACATCTCTGATTTCTAAACCAACAAAATGTTTGTGGTTCAGGACTGAAACCAAAAAGGCAATTATATATAAAAGCTGTATGCTTGCTTGTGCATGTGCCACAATGCCTATCCTCTAATATCTGCACCAAACCCACAAAGCCCAAAGCCTCTCTCTGGGTTTAAATGGGAGCTTCTGACATGGGTCTATAACTCACCGCCGGTGGCCTTATTCTGCTAACACCCTCAAAATGATTATAACATCACTTATAGTCCCGTCTGTTGGCATGGCAAATCCACCCAGCAGCATCAGCATCACCCTCAGTGGCATCACTGACACGTCTCTGCTGTGTGCATTTTATATTTATTTCTTCACTTTTTTGGGAATACGTACATCTTCAGCTGCAAAACTAATCCCCAGAAAAGAGAAGTATCTGCCAACCGGTCAGAGAAAAAGCCCTTCAGTGCTCTGAGCAGAGAAACTACTGAAATAGGAACTTTTTTTTTGCTTGGGAACTGGCATAAAACACACAACATTCCCAACATATTTCTGACGTTATTGCTTTTTTTTGTTTCTTATTCCTAACTTTGTGCTGAAATTAAACCATGTTTAAGTTACAGATATGTTGTTAAAACTCATGATAAAATTAATTTTAGTTTATTATCACTTTTCCTCAAATATTTCAACCTGCATCCAGATGGGAATAAAAAATATTGGGGAACAATTTATTCTCTCGAGCAGCTTCCTCATTTATTCAGTCAGCCCAGTGGGATGCAACACAAGAGGCATCTCTCTAGCCTTTTAACTCCCATCATCTGAGACAAATGTTAAAAATAAGAGCACTAGTCAGCACTCTGCGTGCTGAATTGTTGTCCTCTAAAGCATTCATCAGATATGATTGATGATAGCTGGGCAAAAACACTCTAAACTCTGATGTGAGGTACACCGCCCTCAAACATCCAGGACCACGTCTCCCACAGGTTTCCCCTCCCCCTCACTTTACTCCCTGTAGCAGCCGGGCAGCAGTAGCGCTGTACCTTTCAAGGACACCACCACCAGAAAGGATGTAAGGGAGGGAAAGGGAATTTAGATCAGAAGGTGAGAGGAGGGTGAGCTGAAGGAAATAATGGAGCAGGTAAACGGGTGGAGATATTAGACCCGTGAGGAAAAGAAAGGATGGTAAAAGATATAGAGGACACAAAAGAGTGCAGATAGAGTGATTTGAAGAGTGTGAGTTATCAGGAGGCGATAGAGAGGAAGGCAGCCACGGTTGCTTACGTCACCTTCAGGATGACATTGGCAGGACAAACGGGTCTGCTGCCTCATCAGTTCTACCGCTGCTCAAGGGCAGATCATAACGTGCACGCACACACAGACGCAGGCGCGCTCATGCTCGGCCCCTGCCAACGTGGCTCTACCTGGCCGAACACACCCGCAGCCTCTGACTGGCTGCTGACAGTCAGCAGCCCTCCCCCTGCTCACCAGCGAGACTCTGCTTGGAAACAGAGCGGTTGAGCTGCTAACGCCACAGGCCACTGCTGCAGCGCCGATCAGCACGACCCAAAGCTTTGGGCCTAGAGGCACACAATGGGCCACAATAAACACGGAGCCGATATGTAAGGGTCAGAGAAGCAGGGTAAAGGTCAGAGCTTAAACACAATGTTTGGGTTTGTGCAGATGTGCCTGAAACAGGAAGTAAAAGTCAGCTGGTGGCGAAAGTAGCTTCAGATGGCAGGATTTGGACTTGTTTCCTGATATTTGGGCATCTTGTCTCTGATTGGCTAACAGCAATATGACTCCGCCACTGACTCCATTAGCTTTGCAACACTGATGTTTTATCGCTACAAATAACACAAGCAAGGAGGAGTTCTGCTGTGCGGTGAAGTTGCTAATGCTAACAGTTAGCTTTTACTATCCGATACATGCTCTGCCCTTTCCTGGACGCTAAAACAACAACAGCCTTCCCTGTTGCAAGTCAAGATGGATGAGTCCATGAATTTTAAGTGACAGTGTGACGTGGATCTGTCAGGCTTTTCAAATCCTAGAGTTTCACCGTCTATTTTCTATCCGAAGCTAACGCAGGAGATAGGTGTAGGAGACTATTTTCATGTTCAGCCTGCATGTTAAACTGAGAGTGACTGATTATAATCAGAGAAAATCATTAAAAAATGTTTTACCTGACTTCCACACCTTTAATGCTCGCCACAAACATCAATATACATTTGTTTCATCAGTTTAAAACTAAAAACTGTAACACAAAAGTTCTATATCAGTATTAGATTGTAACTTTGAATCTGTTAAATTTCTTTATTTCATAATATTAAAAAATAATACGTTTTGTCTGCTAATATCATTTACAACCTTTTGTTTAATTAGTCAAAGAAATAGTATAGCTTAAAACCAATAAAATATCTCTAATTTGCTATTATTAAATATTCTTGTATATAGAACATACGAAGAGGCGCTTCCCCCATCCCCCTGGTCCGACCGTTGAGCACGGTGTATATTGATGTTTGATTCCATTAGATTTGTGTGTGTGGTGTCATGATTCGCCAGCACAGACACCCCCGGAACATTATATTTGAGTACCCCTGATTTATTCAGATGAACGTGACTGAGAGAAGCTGAAACTGTTAGCAAAATAAGGTAAAAACTAAACTTTGCTACTCTGTGAATAAGATAAGAACAGAAAACAATGGAACTGCATAAGAGAAGCTGGTTGATTCATTTAGTTACTTTTGAACAATATTTATGCTAAGCAATAACAGTAAAAGAAAGACTTTCCCTTTGCAGTAAAACAGTTAAAGATGTGATATGATTTTGAGCTTAAATTATTTATCTACAAGTTGAGGCAAGCCAGCTGAGGTGGTTCAGGCATCTAGCATGCCGCCTGGACGCCTTCCTGGGGTGATGTTTCAGGCATGTCCTGCTGGCAGGAGGACCCCGGGTCGACCCAAGACACGTTGGAGCAAGTACATCTCCAATCTGGCCTGAGGTCCTGCCGTAGGAGCTGGTGGAGGTGGCTGGGCAGAGGGCTGTCTGGGATGCCCTACTTGAGATGCTACCCCTGCAATCCGGACCCGATGTCATGGTCTGCGTCTGCCCCTTCCTTCATGTGCCTCCTGGTGTTCTCCATCCCTCTCTGGATTCCCTTTTGTGTCTCTTAGCGCCCTCAGGTGTCCTTTGTCTGCGTCTCAGTTAGGTGTCTTATGTTGTAGCCTTTAAAAATCATTCCTCCCTGGTCCTGTGTCATCTCATTCATCCCCAGCCCCTCCAGGTCTTCATTCACATTCTGTGTCCTTGTAGCCCCAGCCTCTTTGTCCCCAGCTCGACGTGCGTGTGTAAGTGTCCTGCTCCAGTTTTGTGTGTGCGTGTTTGTGTGTGTGTGTGTGTGTGTGTGTGTGTGTGTGTGTGTGTGTGTGTGTGTGTGTGTGATTGTCCCTTTCCCAGTTCTGTTTATATTTGTGCATTTGTGTGTGATGCTATGTGTGTGTGTGTTAGTCCTTCCCGCAGTCTTAAGGTTTCGTTTTGTGTTTCAGAGTTTTTAGGTTATTTGGCCCTACTCAGATTCTGTTTTCCCGTTTTGATAATTATTAGTCATTGCCTTCACCTGGTCCTCCTCCCACACCCCACACACCTGCAGCTCATCTCCCTCTCATCCTCCCTGTGTATTTAAGCCCTGTCTTGTCTCAGTGTCTTGTCAGTCCATTGTTTGTATTCTGTCTGCGTTTGTTCATGCTCTTTATGAGCATTTTGTCTCGTCCCCAGACTTTGTGCTCGAGGTGAGCTTCTGTTTCAAAATCTTTGGTCTTTGTGCTCTTTGAGAGCTTTGGGTGTCCTGTGCTCCAGGACTTTTGACTGTAGGCTCGTTGCCTTGGATTTATTTTTGTTCACCCTCTAATAAAAGGATTTTTTCCTTATATCTACTCCTGCCTCGTGTCCTCCTGTGTATCTGCATGTTTGGGTCCTAAACATCCCCGAAACGTGACACCCGGATAAGCAGAGGAAAATGAATGAACGATAGTCTACACGTCTTTGATAAAGAGGCACGCCTCTTATATATTATTTTTATAGTGAATAGGTCATTATCATAAAACTTCTCTTATAGAGCGAGGCTTGTGTTTCCCTTTATGCAGAGTTTTATTTTCTTTAAACTCTCCCACCTAAGTGGATGTAGCAAGTGCTATACTTTCTTAGAGAGGGTACAAAAGAAGAAAACAGGACTTTAACTGTTTCAAATGTGTTAAAATACAGTGTAGAGAACACAGAGAAAGTTTTCATTCCTACCTTTTCTTGATACTGCCGTCTAGACGAGTCCAGGGACTGGATCAGAGCTGTTGCGTGGCCAATAAAAACAGCGTAGCAGGTAGCTCCTACAATCATACTCAGCATAGTCAGCCAGATATCTGACAGACTCTCTGGGGCTTGTCGGCCGTAACCGATGCACAGCATGTGACTCATCGCCTTGAAAACAGCAAAAGAGTAGAGCTCTGACCAGGTGTCGTTCTGTTAAAAGACAAAAGCAGGGATATGAAGTTAGTTAAACACAGCTGTTATGTAAAAATGCATGTTTAGAGAGCACGTAGATAAAAAAAAATCTTCGGGCACAGCAGGGTCATGGAATGGGATTAAAACAAATGAGAACTTGAGGGGCTGTATTGCTTTAGGAGGGACGAGGGAGAAGGAGGAAGTGGAAACAACGTTGGGGAAATCCTTCGAGACCTAATCAGTGAAGCAGAGACGGTAGGAAATTATTTCCTTCGAGAGGAATGATAATGAGAGGTCATTAAATATGCCTTTTCAAAGCTGTGTGTGAGCAGGAATCTACCAGAGGCAGCGACAGCCGTGCAGCGGTCACCGGCCGGCTGGTGCGGAGACTCGTGTAGGAAAATAAACATTCGATTGTAACTTACAGAGACGCATTAATGAGGTTGTTTGATGACAGTGAGAAAGTGGGATGTACGTAACATAAAGCCTCTGTGCAGGCCAGGCAGAGCAGTTTTAGTAGCAGCAAAAAGAAACACAAGACATTAAAGGAAGAATAGAGTGTCAGTTCAATGTAAGAAAAGACAATAGTAAAAAGTAAATACATTTGTAGTGGTCTATAGTAGGAATAAATGCTTTGTACGTCGTTCTTGGGGGACAACAAAAAAATACACTGGTGCACCATTTCCAGTAACTAGAAGTGAGTCACATCACAGCTGAGCTTCAGACCACAGGATTTGGAGTCTTAGTAGCTGATTTTGGACATCTCGCCTCTGATTGGATAACAGCAACTTGACTCTACTACTGACTTGCAACGCTGATGTTTTATCTCCACAAATAACACAAGCCTGGAGGAGTTCTGCTGTGTGGTGGAGTTATTAATGCTAACAGTAGCTTCTACTAGCTGAGACCATAGACATGAATACGTAGATGCCCCATTGGGCGCTGGAGAGTGTAACAGTGTTGCCGCCATATTGGATGGGTCTCCTCACTCTCCAACGTCAAAGCAAAGTGAGCAACTATGCCCTTTTTTGTGCAGCCTACATTCACAACAACCAGCATACAGTTGAAAATAGATCACGTGGGATTACTGGTGGCTTTTCTAGTATACCTAATATGATTTTATATTGACATTTATTTTTATTTGTTGTGTTTAAAGTGACAGTGTGTATATTTCCTGGCAATGGGGGCAGTAGATGCATAAATTGTTGCAAGCAAGCTGTATTTTTGTGTTGAAGTAAGACCTTACCAACTGATGCTCACTAGGGTCAAAAAGCCCCAGGTAGGGATGGGTACCGGTACTTGGTACTTTAATTGCACCGGTTCTGACATAAACGGTAGTAACCAGACCGAAAAGCAACGCAGATTTCGGTGCTTCATTTCGGAGATGTCAATCATGTTGGACTCTAGTAGTCACTCATTTTACTTTTCCGGTGATAGTAGGCGGGCCCAGCCAAGTGCGTATTTGGTTAGAGCGGACCTACATTATTTGTCAAAATGCCGAAGGCGAAGTGGTCGAAAGCGTGGCTGTACTTCACAGCAAAAGATGCAGACTCAGCAACCTGCAACAGGTGCTTCAAGGTGATACTCAGTAAAGGAGGTAACACCTCTAATTTAATGAAACACCTGGTGACGCATAGCATTTTTTTAAAAGCCGAGACATGCACCGTATTTGATAGCTTGCAACAGCGAAACCTCCCACCGAACGCATCTACTGTCGGTAATGGAGATAGCTTTAGCAACATTCCCCCAGAAGAACCTGGAGAGGAGGAGAATCGTCCTGGCCCCAGCCGAGTCCCTCCCGCTGTAGCAGAAAAGATGACAGAGGATGGCGGCAGCAGCAGCAGCCGCTCTTCTTTGGGTAAGTAGCTTAAAGTAGTTTATGTGTGTTATACGTTGAGCACACGTTATTAAATGAATGCATGTAGGGTGAGCTAGCAAACACGGTCGTAGCTACATGCTGCGTTCTTTTTGGCAGAGACTCCCTTCACGCTGGCCGAGAGGTGTAAATTGACCAAAGAAAAAGTGGAGGAAATACACAGGGCAGTGACGACATTTGTAGTCAAAGATCTCCAACCATTCTCAATGGTGGAGTCATCATCATTTAGGTAAAAATGTTGTATTGCTCTGATATAAAAATAGTTTTGTTCATAGCTGTTTAGCTTTGCAAGTGCTCTGTTAATAATTGGTTCAAATAAAGGGTGGGTTACATGTTTTTATTTAGTCTTTTTTATCTGTTTGGAAAAATAACCACATTTCAATTTAAATTCAAATTTATTTGTTTCTATTCAGGGAGATGTGCACTGCCCTTAATCTGAGGTACCAGCCCCCATCCGGAGACGACCTGTCCAACACACTTATACCTGCATGGTATTCTGTTGAAAAAAGCAACCTCATCCAGAAGTTGGCTCAGGTTAACAAGGTAGCAATCACCTGTGATGGATGGACTAGTGTTGCTCAGGACCATTTCCTCACAGTCACGGTTCATTATATCTACAAAGGCAGGATGATGCAGAATGTGCTAAGCACTGAAGCAGTTTATGAGTCATAAACAGGTCTGGTAGTGGCTAAAGAAATATCAAGCGTTGTGGAGCAGTTTAACTTAGGACAGAAGACAACGCCAGCAACATGGATGTTGCTTTGAAAAACTTGAACTTTTTGAAAGTGGGATGCTTTGCTCATACCCTAAACCTAGCAGCACAAAAGGTGTATGACATTCCTGCAGTTTCCAGCTGGTGTGCCAAAATCCGCTCAGTTGTGGTGTGGCTCAAACGTTCATCCTTGAGCAAAACTGTGCTCAGAGAAAAGCAGCGACTCCTGAGTAAGTAGCATATGCAGTTACACATCTAAATGTGTTGTTAATAATATTACCTTTTTACAGTAATTCAAAATACATCTGTGTCTGTCTGTGCTTTAGATTTGCCAGAGCATAATGTCATTCTTGACATTAAAACGCACTGGAACTCTCTCTTCCTGATGGTGGAGAGATTTATTGAGCAGTTTGATGCAATCCAGGCAGCTGTTTTGGATCAACTGAGGAAGCCAATGGAGAAGGACAAGTGAGTGAAGGACACCAGCATCACTTGTAAGTGCTAAATTATTTCATTTCATCATTTACCTTAAACATTGTTAATAATTTTCCACAGGCTAGAAGGCTTCACGTGCACTGATCTAACGAAAGCAGAGATGTTTATTAAGCGCATGCAAGTCCTGTACACATCAACCATGTGTGTGTCAAGTGAGAAGTCGCCCACATGCAGCCAAATCATCCCCATCCTGATGAAGCTGGAGACACTTTTCAGGCAATCCGATGAAGACACAGTTTTCACCTCATCAATGAAAGGGAAAGTCTGGGGTAGTCTGCAGAACAGATGTCAGGTATCTGCAGAACATATGGATACTAACAAATATAGGGGTAGCATTGCATTTAAGTATCCGCTTCTATATTATATACTTTCTTTAAAGGATGTAAACCTTCAGAAATTTCTAAAGGAGGCCACTCTGATTGACCCACGTTTTAAAGGCAAGCTAGATGAAGGTGAGGCAGCTGACATCTGGGACACGTTGGAGAAGGCAGCATTTGCAAATGCCACAGCAGCAGTTGAACAGGTATTCTCTGAACAACGTTGTCCTTCTGCATGATGTAGTTTCCATGTTGAAGGAATGTTTTTTATTATGTGTGTATCCATAGCCTCCCATAGAGGACCCTCAAGCAGACAGGGTGATGGATGACGCCGAGATGAAGCCAGAAAAATATGTAATTTCTGAGTTTTTCTAATCTAACCATGTAGTCCTACATTCTAAAAGGGATCTTTGTTGTTTTGACAATCCTCACACTACTTATTTTTGTTTTCTAGCCAAGAACGGTCCAAAAGTCAGCCTTAGAAAAGCTGTTTGAGGATGAAGACAGACAACTTAAGGAGGATGCAGCCTCTCATACAGCGGGTAGAGTCCCTTCCATCACAGAGCAGGTACAAAAGGAACTTGACGTATACAAAAGACTGCCAAGAATTCCCTCTGGACAAGACCCTGTGGCCTGGTGGTAGAGTAAGAGGGATACACTGCCCAACTTATCTGCCCAATCCAATACATACTTGTGTGTCCCAGCCTCATAAACACCTTCTGAACGTGTTTTCTCTTGCGCTGGGCATGCCATCAGCCAAGAGCGATGCCGAATATTGCCAGAAAAAGCTAACATGGTGATTTTTTTGCAAAAAATAAAAATAAAAAAATAAGAGGTTTTTGGAAAACGTGTGTATTTTTACATTCTTTAAGCACCGGTTCCGGCACCGTTTGAGCACCGGTACCGTTTCAAAAGTACCGGTTTGGCACCAGTATCGGATAAAACCTAATCGATACCCATCCCTAAAACTTCTGCAAAATAACAAGCATATCAGACTCCCTGTCATCACTGGCAACGAGTGAAGAGGTAAATGTGTATAACAACAACGTTCATGAATGTTGACATTTTGTAACCACTTGTTACAAATCAGTAAACACATTTGGTCCTCAGAGGCTCCTGTAGAAGAAAACATGGCATCTAATATGGCGTCGCCCAGAGACTTAGACCCACTCCCATGTATTTTAGACCTGATTTTTATTATATGTTACAAAGCTGCCAATATTTTTCAACAACTGGGCATCATTTAATAACTTTTCAACAACATTTTTAATGATATTTACAGAGATTAACAATAAAAACTACACATTGTCACATTAACTATATTTATATTTTACTCATCATGTTAATGTGTCATGCATATTTTGTGAAAAAGCTTGATAAAATATGTTTTTAAGTTGGTTAAGCACCTTCCTCAGCAGGAATGAATGCACAGGGGCGAATGGAGACCCATTTAAAATGGTGGCCGGCCATTACGGCAGCTCCAATAGGCAGCGCCGGTCCACGGGGCGTCTACTTATATATGTCTGTGACTGAGACATTCTCTGCTGTTTCCTGGGCGCTAAACCAACATCAGCCTTGCTCGCTGGGAGTCGAGATGGGTGAGTCCATGAATGTTAAG